GTGCAAACTGGGGGGTGGGGTTTGGGGGTGGCCGGGGGGGGGTAGTGGTGCAGGCACGTTGCGGTGCATGCACGGGGTGTGTGTAGGGGGATGCGTGCATGCACAGCGCTGCACGCCTGCACCTGCTTGCACGGTGCATGCATCCACAGGGGCACACGCGTGTGGAGGTGCATGTGTGTGCAGCGCGCGCTTGCACCCCTGTGCACGCACCCGCCCCGGCACGCATGCAGCGTCTGTGCATGCACCTTCATCTGCATGCACCCCTTGCACACGTGCGCTCCCTCGTGTGTGCGCCCCTGCGTGCGCGCGCTCTGCGTGCACGCATCGAGCTGCACATCTGCAGGGGTGCAGGCAGGCACAGGGCGCGTACCTGCAGAGCGCCTACGCGTGGGGTGCATCGTGCACGGTGTATGTGTATGCGCACCCCTGTGTGTGCGTGCACCCCTTGCACACGTGCACCGTGACCTGTGTGCGGCACGTGCGTGCACCCTCAAGTGCACGCACAGAGGGATGTACGTGCACCCCGTACACGTGTGAGGGTGCATGCATGCATGCATGCACAGGGTGCGTGCTGCAGACCTGTGGAGGTTCGTGCACACCCGGTGCTGCACGCGTGGGGGGATGCATGTGTGCACGGTGGGCGTGCGGACGCGCCGTGCATGGGTGCGGCTGCACATGCACGCAGGCAGTGCTCAAAGCCCCAATCTGGCCAGGTTTTCCCCCAAAAGCTGCGACGTGTTTCTACTCTCCTCCCCAGGGGCCGCGTGAGCGGGGCTGGGTGAGCGGGTTGGGGTAGTGGCACCTTTACTGGGCTACTACTGGCTTACTACTAGGTTACTACGTGCTTCCTATGAGGCTACTGCTAAGATACTACTGGGATACTCTCAGTAACCGTGTGAGGGAGTAGTGGGATGCTATCAAGACACAGCTGAGATACTCTCAGGATACTACTGGGATGCTCCTAAGGTGCTATGAGGAGTTGACTCAAATGCTGTCAGGATCCTCTGCAGGCAGTACTAAGGCGCTCTCAGGGTGGCACTAAGATACTGTCAGGATACTCTGGGGATACTACGAGAATGCTACCGAGGTACTAGCGGGGCACTACCAGGATGCTATCAGGACGTTACTAAGATACCTCCAGCGTCTTTCCAGATACTCTGCTGAAGGTACCACCGAGGCAGTGCTAACACACCATTGGGGTACTCGCAGGATACTACAACAGATACCCTTAAGATGCTTTCAGCATAGTAACATGGCACTAAGATAATAGCTGGATATTGCACTACCAAGATACTATCAGGATGCTACTAAGATGAGAGCTGCAAGCCATTACACCACTGTTAGGTGGTCCTATCAGGACACTGCTCGTATACTACTGTGATAGTATCAGGGCACTGCTAAGATGTAACTAGGATGCTACTGGGATGCTCCTGACGTAGTATCAGGGCACTACTACCTGTGCTAGTACAAGGTCAGAGCAATGCTGAGCTATGCGATAGCTGCTACTAGGATACTCCCAGTGTAGCACAAAGGTACTATCGGGATGCTACCTGGATACTCCAAACGATACTGCTGAGATACTTCCACAATACTATTGAGGCACTACTAAGATACTACAGGGCCATTACTAGGATACTACTAAGATAGCATCAGGGTACTACTATGATAATACCAGGCTATTATCACAACGCTGCTAAGGTGCTATCAGGACAGTACTCATTTCTTAGTAGGATGCTGTCAGGCTGCTAGTAGGATATCAGTAGGATACTTCTGAGATACTACAAGGGCACTAGAAAAGATAGTGGTAAGATACTTCTGGGATACTATCAGGGCAACACTCAAACTTTTGGGATACTGTCAGCACATTACTGATACTAGTAGAATACTTTCAGACCACTACTAAGATAGTGATATAGTATAAGGATACTACTAAGATACTACCAGTTCAGTAAAAAAAGGCAGCGTTAAGATACTTTTGGGCCACTATCAACACTTTGTTGCTACTACTAAAGTACTACTAGTATAGTGTCAGGATATCAGCATATTTCTATGAAGACAGTACTAAGATGCTGTTGGGATACTACTAGGATACTACAGAGATACTGGTGGCGGTGTAATAGCCCTGGCAGCAGGTTTTCAGCCAGCACGGCAGCAGCAAAGGGAACTGGTGTTGTAACCTGTGAGTAGCCCAGTGCCTCACGGGCACCCTCTCCCTGCAGCTAAGGTGGCGCGTCGGCGTTGAGGAGGATGGAGGCGCCGCTGGTAAGCCTGGAGGAGGAGTTCGAGGAGGGGCCCGGGGACGATGGGGGGACCCCGCAACGCGCTGCGGACCCGGCGCTGGCCGAGCTGGAGAGCTTCTCGGCGGAGATGATGAGCTTCAAGTCGATGGAGGACCTGGTGCAGGAATTTGACGAGAAGCTCACCGTTTGCTTCCGCAACTACGATGCCGCCACCGACGGTCTGGCCCCCGTGCGGGGTCGTCTCCAGGCGCAGGAGGAGGAGGAGCGCCTCCAGGATGAGGAGTGAGTAAGGCCCCCCCTACTCCTGGGGACACGTGCCTCCTCGCACACCAAAATCCACCCCTCCCCAATGCAAACTGGCTCCCTGCATTGCAGCGTGGTCATGTAACACAGCACAGTAGTGTTGTAGTAACCTGTGAGTAAACCCTCGCGTGGCCTGTGTGCCTCCTTGCACCCTTGCGAGACTTCCCCGACGAGCTCCCTGCATTGCGGCATGATCATACAACATACAATAGCACTGTAGTATCCTACGAGTAAGGACTCCCTCAGGGTCTGCATGCCGCCTTGCATGCTAGCAAGATACACCCCACATGCAACTCGGCCACCTGCATCACGGCGTAGTCATGCAGCAGTGTGGAGTAGCTGTGTAGTATCCTATGAGTAGGCCACCCTCGGGCCTACATGCTTCCTTGCGTGGTCATGAGATAGACCCCATCCCACGGCACGCAACCCAGCCTACCCCATTGCAGTGTGGTTGTGTAGCACACCAGAGTAGCAGTGTAGTATCCTATGAGTAACGCCCCTCTGGAGCCTATTGCACCTCCTTGCATGCTTGCAAGACCTTCGCCACATGCGAATCAGCCCCCTATGCTGTGATCACGCAGCACCTTGGAGTAGCTGTGTAGGATCCTTGGAAGAGATGTGTAGCATCTTTGGAGTAGCTGTGTAGGATCCTTGGAGTAGCTGTGTAGCATCCTATGAGGAGGCACAGCGGGGTGCCCCATGTCGCATGGCAGGGGGTCACGGCAGGCTCAGTCTATGTGAGGAGAGTCCTGGGGGGGGGGTGTGAGCGTAAACCTGGAGTAAAGTGTGAGTAGAGCTTAGCCTCCTGCTCGCACCGCGCAAGCTCTGCGCCAAGCCAGAGGGCAGCCAATTTGGGGCAAAATCCCTCCAGGCCTGTCACAATATAGTGGCATTTGCCTTAAAATCTGAATTTTCATTAAAACACCCTTTTTTTTGTTGCAAAATGCCATTTTTTGGCCAAATTTGTGGGGTTTCTTCAGCGATTTTTATACATTAACACCTTTCTACTGGATTTTTTTGTGTTTAACTGGGATTTTTCCCCAGGCTGCCGTTCCCAATACTCAGTTTCCACCATGCAAAGGGGTTGTTTTCAACCCAAAAGCCCCCAAATCTGTTTATTTTGGGTTTTTTTTTTTTCCCCACCAAAATCCACTGAGGCCAAATGACTTTTCCTAATGGGCCAAATTGCTGGGTTTTCAGAGAAAAACGCATTTTGGCCCCGTGCCGGGAGCGCCGCGCCGTCGCCGGCAGCCGGCTCGCGGCGCCGCTTTGTGCTGCTTATTGTGTCTTTTTGGGTCAGTTTGGGCAAAACAGGGCTTTTTTTTTTCCTCCCTCTTGAATGAGCCCTGTGTGCACGGGCGGGGGATGGGCTGGGGCCTTAAAGGCGCTGTATTTCCCTAATTATTAACCAATTCTCGCCATAATTAACCCAGAAATCTGCTGCTGCTGCTTGCCTGACCTGCAGGGTGCTGGCCCTTTAAGAGCAGAAAAAAAAGCGCACATTTTGGGGGATAATCGCTTATTTTTTCCGTATTCGCTGCGTTTTTCTTAAAAATAGGAATATACGGGGTTTTGGCGTGCATTTTTGGGCATTAATTTGTGAAATATGAAATTTTCTAATCTCTTTTTGTGCCTTTTCCCCCGTTTTTGACCTTTTTCCCCATTTTTGACCTTTTTCTCCATTTTTGACTTTTTCCCAAGGTCGCCACTTTCCAGCTCTTTTCTCCCGTTTTCTCCATTTTTTCCTCTTTCTCCCTCTTTTCTCCACTTTGCCACCTTTTCCCCTCATTCCCCCTTTTTTCCTTACATTTTCTCTTTTTCCCCATTTTTTCCTTTTTCCTCCATTTTTTTCCTTTTTCCTCCATTTTTTCCTTTTCCCCTCTTTTACCCCTTTCCCTCCTTCCCCATCCCCCATTTTCCTGTCTTTCCCTTTCCCCCCTTTCCCCCTTTTTTACTTTTTTCCTCATTTTTTCTTCCATTTCCCCTCTTTTACCCCCATTTTCCCTTCCCCCACTTCCCTCCATTTTCCCCCTTTTTGCTTTTTTCCCCATCTTCTCCTTCTTCACCCCTTTTTCTCCTCTTTTCTCCTCTTCTGTTTTCCCCCTTTTCCCCACTTTTCCCCCCTTTTCTCCCATTTTTCCCTTTTTTCCCTTTTTTCCCCTTTTTTTCCCTTTTCCCCCTTTTCTCCCATTTTTCCCCTTCCCCCCTTTTCCCCCTTCCTGTTTTTTCCTATTTTTCCCTTTTTTTCCCTTTTTTCCCTTCCCCTCTTTTTATCCCTTTTTCCCCTTCCCCCCTTTTTCCCTTCCCCCCTTTCCCCCTTTTTGCCCTTTTCCCCTTTTTTCCACTTTTTCCCCCTTTTTCCCCTCCCCCCTTTCCCCTCTTTTTTCCCATTTTTCCTTTTTTTCACCTTCTTCTCACATTTTTTCCCCTTTTCCCCCCCTTTTCCCCCCT